TTTCAAGAAATGTTCTATCTCTCTCTTCTCCCTTAATGACCATCAGGAGATGTATTATAGAATAATCTTATTTGCATACTTTATGAAAGCAGTAACATGGCAGTTTGGATTGAATAAGCACAAGTTAGATAGCATTCCTCTCCATATGCCCATGTCCGCAAGCTGATGGGGTTTTTTTGTTTGACGACCAGGGTACATTGCACCTTAGTTGTCTCCTTTCCTGCTTTTGGTCAAAACCTCACTAACCTTATTGTACACTTATTAATCTGAGTCTACACCAACTAACCTGAGTCTATCCTATCTCTAGAAAGGTTGCTCAAGGCAGTGTGGGCTACTTTTACTTCATGCTCTTCCCCCCTCCCACCACCTAAATATCTTTCGCCTTGAGAAGAATGAAATATCTGATTTTTGTTTCTGTCATTTAATGCTCTTAATGATATTTTTAATCTTGTGTTACAAAGAGCATTAAAATAATAACTGAAATCCAATATTAAAGTTGGCTCTATCTTGTCATCAACCTAATCTATATCCGTGTTACCTTCCAATTAGTTCTCATTTACATGTTTACAGTGATAGTAGAGATGAAGGAATAGTGGTATTGTGCTTTTGTTTGTTTGTTTGTTTGTTTGTGTGTGTGTGTGTGTGTGTGTGTGTGTGTGTTTTTACTGTTTCTTATGCTATTCAATACTCCACCCCCTATTAAATCTGGTGAAATATTTTCTTCCCTTCATTTGTTCCCCCTCTCTCTTAACCCTGCTGGTCTCCCTGCCCCTCACCTCACTTTCCCCTCAGCCAGTGTTAGCCGGCTGGTTTATATCTGCTGGCACTTTCCCTTGTACAAACACACACAGGCTTATAGTACTTACAATGGTGCACAAAAATAGGTCTTACTATAGTCAGTGTACTTATTTCTGCATAAACTTTAAAGATGCTAAGTCAGGCCCGTGCTGGGATTCTGCAGGGACCAGGCTCTGACATATGAACCCAGTGTCTACCTGCCCCAGGTCCCTAACACAATTGGGAACGTCTGGGAGTCTCATTTCAGTCTGAAGCTGTCCCTGTTGAGACACTGCCTCATTTGTTTTCCCATTTTTCTCTGAGCCATGTTATAGGAACTGATAGGTTCACACACCTTTCCTTCCTCAGGCTAATCTTGGCTTCATTGAGGCCATTTGATGGATTTGTTTTTCTATCACAGAGTCAGTGTTGCCCTCGGAGAATCCCCATATGGGTCCTTTGGCGTTTGTGCCTTTCTCTGGCACTTCTTTTGAGCTAGTAGTCTCAGCTCTATATCTATATTAGGGCATGTTACTAAACAGCATTCAGGCTTAAGAATGTTATGTGATAGTTTAGGTATTTGCCAGCCTAGGTTCTGTTTCAGGAATGATGACTTGTGAATTATTAGCTTGAAGCTACTCTCAGTTCTACACAAGATTTTCCCAGCTGCTTATCCTGAATACCTATTGTTTCTCATGTTTTATATCTCCTCTATGGCTTGAACATGATACTGCTTCACCAGAGGGAAGGCATACGAATGGTGTATGGAGGGAGTGTTTGAGATCTTGCTTCCTGGCAATTGTCAGCGGCTTGGCTCTGTTAAACTCTTAAAAAATTCTCAAAAAAGAAAATGAATGGTATTATAGCCCTCCTGACAGCCCATCCTTCCACTTGTAAATAGAATTGTCAGGGGAAAAACAGGTAGTGCCAGGAATAGAGTCTAACAAGAAAAGAAGAAAGTGATGCCCTCCCTTTGCCATCACCCTCCGCTCACTCTGAAAGGTATCTCAAGTAACGTTCAATCAAAGAAGTTCAACACGGGCTGAGCTGCCAGGGTAGCATTAAACCACGGATCATCCTAAACCCTTTCTGAAGTCTCTAGCTGAGGGGCTTTAGGCATCTTACTGAGCCTGCCTGTTACCCAGTTCTCCTGTAATATCAAATAGGAATGACACATGCCCTCGCTGTCTCCTAGGCTTCCTAACAGCCAAATGAAATAACATGTAAGAAGGCACTTTGGTGAACAAACACATTAGAGATCACCATATTCAAAATTTCTCGAGGGACATTTTGGCCCCTCTGTGGGCCCTGTATTAGGGACTGAGGATACGGTCATGAAGGACACACCATGGCCCTTAGAAGTTTACACACCTAGCAGCTCATTGTCCTAGACAAGTGAGCATGGATCCTAGAACTTCCTGCCTCACATTATTAATGCACCCTTAGCACTGGGCATCCTAAAATGTCCTGGGAAACCTTTACCATCCCACCAAGATAAAATAAGGACAGTGTCAGCTTGTCCTGGACTGTCTGTTCATCTTCAGAATTCCATCCCACAGAAAGCTAATGTTCAAGAATCTGAACCGAGGGCCCCAACCCTTTGTGCATCCCAGCCTCAGTTATAGACCTTCTCAGACCACAGCAGGGCCAGGCGTCTTTCCCAGAGGTCCTGTACCAGGAGGTGGGTCGGGGATGGTAGCCGGACATCAGTGTTTTTCCTTTTGATTTGTCTAAGAGAGGCGGTTATCAAAGGTCGAGATTCCCTGATTTCAAAACTAATAAACCATGGGAGTTAATTTTGCCAGGAGGGTGCATATAATTTCCTGTAGCAACTCATATTTCATTGTACCATCATCTGCCCTGAGCTCCCTTAATTGGATTCCCAGAAATCTTGCCTCTTTCTGATTTAGCCTCGGTATTGTAGCCAGAGTGATATTTTTTAATTGAAAAATATCATACCATTATCCCCCAAACCCCTGTTTAAAACACTTGAATGGCTTCCCAGCTCTTAGGAAAAAGATCAAAATTAGAAACTAGACCCACAAGTCCTAAAATGTTATTTTCTCCCCTCAATTCTCATTTCATTACATGGTCCTATTGTGTCTATATCTTCAGGCTCCTTCAACTATGCCACCCTCTTTTGCCATGACGCCCTTGCATGTCTGTTTCCTCTGTCCTCATTGCTTGGACTCCTTGCCTCAATCACACTCACTCATGTCCTTTGTTTGGTTTATGTATTCCTTTGCTTTAAGCTTCCTCGGCTCCAATATCACTTCTTCTAGGAAGCCTTTCTTGACATTCTCAATCAGATCAGCTCTTCAGTATTAATAGGTTTATAATGTCAGCCCCTCTCCTTCATATGACCCCCTAAAATGACTTCTTGTTTATTTTTGAGATTATTTATTTAAAGGCCATTTTCTCACTAGTAGCCAGTATGCTCATGAAACCCTGGACCATATATGTTTGGTTTGTTTGGTCATATCTATTTTTCTCATTTCAGGCAAGATACAAGATAGACACTCAATAAATATCATTTGAGTGGTTAGATGGATGGATTGTTGGTTGGATGGATGGATGGGTGGGTGGATGGGTAGATGGGTGGATGGATGGATGGATGGATAGATGGATAAGCAGACAGCCTTTTAAAGCCAGGCTGGGTTGCCTACTCAAATGGTGACCTAGGACTCTGGCAGTATTCCCTTTGCCCTGTTTCTTAATCTCTGAAAAGAGTTGGCATCCCTGCCTCAGATGATAATTATATCCCAAGGAATTCAGAAGCTGATGTCAGGTGAGCCCAAAGTCCTGGAGTTACAGTATATTGGGCTTACCCAGCTCCTAAAGGCAAAGTCATAGGATCCAGTTTGTTCCACTTGAGTGGGCAAAGCAACAACAGCAGGGATGAATCTGCTTCTGTCAACTGTCAGACTAGACCCCTTGAGGCTATTGCATCCTAGTTTGAAGTACTAAGTTTAGAGGCCTATGCCCACATCAGGAGGCCCGGGTCTCACAAATGCTGATGCCCTGAAGTCTACTCTGTCCCCACAAAGAATCATCTCTCTCTCCCTCATTTCTTTTTACCCTCCATATCCTATCTCTCTCCCATCCTCCTCTCTCAAAAACTATATTGTTTGTTTTGTTACCATGTAATATATCCCTAACTATCCCTGCTATCTCCCTGAGACATATGTCCCAAATAATGGGAATAGATTTAAAGATGGGATCTTCGAGGCTTGGCTGGAAGCAACTCTGTTGAAAATTCAGAAAACATGGGAGTGGAAACTGACCAGAAAGAGAAAGATAAATTGATCAATCCACATTGGTTGTTCAAATGAAGGACAAGTCATCAAGAATGGTTGACAGGTATATTTATTAGTGATCCAAGTCATTGCACAATGTCTAGGCTTGTAGATATTGGTTCTGCAGTTGTGAATGGAATTTCTTTCCCCCCTCACAATGCTTGGCCTGGCATAGATCAGAAGAGCAGGTCCCTTAGATTCATAGGATTTGAACTGCTTTTCCTTTCCCTGTGAATTAATCTTTTAAATGTCAGCATTTTAAATGTGGCCTTTTCAAAATATGATACCATATGAACCTCACTTAATCGAAAATACATTTCTAGTTCAAAAGGTTTCACTTCCCCCTGAAAATGGGAAAAACTAACAGAACAAATAAAAGTGTAATATAGCATAGGCTGTGTGTGGTGGAAGCTGGTGTTTGTCAGTTGGGTCTAAGAAATGTCCCAAAGGTTTTTGTTGTTCTTGTCTTTTGTTCTATGTTTGTTTATTGTTGTTTTATTATTATTATTATTATTTTTTACAGATCTGTGATTTTAGAAATCAGACCTTATGTTTTCCTACCCACCTGCAGGAAATTTAGCAAAGGGGCATTGCAGATCTTCTATAGTTGCATTGTTTTTATAGTCATTTGGTTCAGTATATAATTTTACAGATCACTATTTGCTCCTATGTCTATTATAACAGTTTGTTGAGCTTCTCTGTTCACTTGCTTTTTTTTTTTTTTTTTGTCTCATTCATTAGCTTAGTTGAGCCACTAGGCTATTGCAGATTGTCACAGGGATTCTCTCACCCACAAATAGATCCCCCCAGCTCTGGGAGGGAGCCAGGGCTGCCATTGTTTCTGAGCCAGCAACCAGGACAAACCCCAGCCCCGAGCAAAGCACCCTGGTACAAACCCCTTTCCTCTGACGTTGGGCTGTTTTTTAGGGCGACGTTCAGAGGACATTCATCCAAGTGGACTTCGGTGATGGCATTGCAGTGTCGTATGTCAACCTCAGCTCCATGGAAGACGGGATCAAACACGTCTATCACAATGTGGGCATTTTCCGAGTGACCGTGCGGGTGGACAACAGTCTCGGGTCTGACAGCGCCGTCCTGTACTTACATGTAACTTGTATGTTATTACTGTTGTTGATTTATGACATCATTTAAATATTGTGTCCTTTTAAAATATGTTCTAGAATTTCATATCTAGAAGAAGCTTATTAGTTCGTTACATTGCAGCAGGAGGGGGAGGGAGAATAAGAGAGTCCAGTGGGGAGGAAGTAAGAAGGAAATCAGGGAGTGGAATCTGAATAATCTTGGCTTCTGCTTTGCTTCAGATTTTTTCATTGCACTTGCTGGGCCTCATTGAGGTACCTGGACACCCGAGATACAATCCCTATGTCTGGGGGGTTGGCCTGAGCAACTTGCTAAGCTATTTGATTGAATATGAATTTTTTGGGGGGAGATCAGAAATGTTTGAAAACCAACCACATGTATGGCTCAATCTAAAGCATTGATAATTAGCATTGGTAAAGGAATTTCTCCCACTTTGATTATTCTTCCCTACATTATATCTCACTATTAATATTCTTTTAGAGTTTTGCTCTCTTTAAAATGTCTTTATTTTGTGTTTTCATTACCATTTATCCCCCTATTCCCTTCTCCATCTCCACCCACACCCCTTCCCCCCACACACACTGTTGTTCGTGAGTTCTCTCTCTCTCTTTTATTTAATTTTTTTGCTCCTTAAAAAAAAAAAAAAGTGTTCCCTGGTCTGGGGATGATTTGTTGTTAGAGAGAAGTTGGCATAGAAGGAAAGAGGGTAAACAATGATAAGGAAACTACACTAGGAAACAGCTCCAAGAAGTGTTAATGCTTTTCCCATTGAGGGATCTAAGGGTATGCTAAGTCTTGTGAGTCCATGACAACTTCTCAGGCATGTTGAGTAATAACAGTGACACAAATGCCTTTTAAAGTAGGTTTGTCAATGTTCCTGCAGAGGTAAAGGACTTGTTTAAGTTCCTAGAGAAAGAGTTTACATCAAAATGACTGTAGCTCTTTTATATGAATGGTCTTGTTCAAGTGAATTTCAAGTTTTATGCCAAGAGTTTTAAGGACAGGCAATATTCCATGCCTCTCACCTGTCCCATGCCTGTTGAACCAAATTGAGTGAGAATGTACTGCCAGATGTTTTGAAGCTGCTGTGATCCAGTGGAGGTCACACTGTTTAGGGGACCCCAGGAGATTGCTGGGCTCCTGAAGAATCCTGTTCTGTCAGCGACTCTTCATCTTTCTCTCTGGAACCTCATGACACAGGGCCTTCGAAGAGACACTCTGCCTTCCTTGGGTTTGAACAAAGTTTTACAAAGTCCCAGGTTGCCAACTCGACCTTCTTCTTTTCATTTAAAAATGTTCAATTTTTACTGTGCACCAGGCTTTGCACTAGGCAGTCTCTTTATGTATAGAAGCTCAGTCCTCAAAACAACCTCATGAAGCAGGCACTATTGGAAATCCTGCTTTCAAAGGACAGTGAGCTCCCAAGAGATTAAATAATCCATTTGAATTTGTAGACTTACCATGTGGCAGAGCCATATTTCAGACTCAGGCCTACCTGCCTCAAAACCCAGCTCTTGATCATTAAGGTTATGGTCACTGTCAACAGTGGCTCGGGGTTTGAGGAACTACATCTCAATCAGCCTTTCTCCCCGTTCCACGTGTTTGCAGATTGTCCTGAAGGAGTATGCGTATTGAAGTTAGAAGCAGTGCATTTGCTAAGCAATGATGTAGGTTCAAGACCCACCTCAGAGGCTCCCTTCCTGCTGACTGCCATTCCTCAGCTGTCTACTCAGGCTTTCTGGAATTGCCTCTTACCAACAAAAAATCTCAAGTGATAATATCATAGGAATGGTCATAAATTAAAAAAAAAATACAAAGCAAGCATTGGTTGTTAAGATAACTTGCAACCAAGTGACAACACATTTGCTGAGAAAGGTTACTTTCTAAGCTGCCTATCATTGTCCACAGTTCTGTAAGTGGGATTTTTGTTAGAGAGCAATTCTCCTTAACAATCACAGTTGCTGAAGCCACAGTTGCTAAGCGAAATGAGGTTCCCTGTTCACTTGCATTTTTTTTTTGTCTCATTAGCCTAGTTGAGCCACTAAATGATTTGACCTTAACCTTGGTGAAAGGTGATTTGTAATGGAAAGATTTGTGTTCTGATTTTAATTTTATTAGACTCATTTTTGATTAAGTGGTTAGATTAGCATGCCTCATATAATCAAACCCCTTCCTAAACTTGGCCCTGGAGACAAAAATTAACTCTTTTGCACTAACAGTATTAAAGAGGATTATGTTACAACTTTCATTAATTCACATCCATCCAAAACTCATGTCAGGAGCATTTTCCTTGTGTTCTTGGATGCCTCTTTCCTAAACGCCATAGCCACAGTATGTGTTACTGTGCACAGGGATGCCTTCTCTTATCCCCACCCCTCTACCTGACACCCTGGCAGGCAGCATGGGCCCTTTCAGATGAGAAAACAAGAATTGGAGAAGTTCTGTGACTTTGACACTCTTTTAAGCTAATAGGGAATCAGGACAAGCCCATCATTGACTCTTACTTTCTAAAATCTCAAACCTGAAGGGTATCCTGAAAATTTTCAGTGTCACAGTGCCAGGGTGGGGTAGGGTTTGGCATTTAGAAGAAAAAAAAATTCAAAAACTGAACGTGAACTGAATGGGTTACTGGGTGGTCCAGTGGCTGAACTCCTGACCCCTGAACTCCTGGCTCCTTTTCTCTGAGTGCAGTTTGTTTCTGAAAGATTCTGTGGAGCCTGATCTGCTGCGCTGTGTCCACCAGCAAAGCTTGAGACTCAGTGATCACAGAGGAGCATATGCAGTGGGAATTAGTGTGTTCATAGGAGCAACTCTGAGCTCTGCTTGCCAGGCCTGCCCTCTGCCCTTCTTATCCAACTCCCTTCCTTCAACCTGGGTCTCTCCCTCCTGCCCCTTGCCTGACATGACAAAAATGTAGTGTCCCCATCCCAGACCCACTGAATTAAAACTCCAGCAAGTGTGGCAGCATAAAACCTACTTGAACATATTAGGATGATCCTATACTTGCTGAAATTCAAGGAGCTCTGTTTTAGGATCTCATCTTTATACTTTTATGCTTTTGTTTCTTCTGATGGATTTTGAAACACTTCTGACAAACAGAAATATGATGCATACACAATATTTAATTTGGTGGTCAGAGGAGGTCTCTAGAACACACACACACACACACACACACACACACACACACACACACACACAATGACCAGTCTCAGATGCCAGCTGTTCCACGCAGCACAGGAGGGCTAAACATGAAAAGAGCAGGGAAACCTCCTTCCCACAGTTCTGCAGTTCCCTCTGCCACCCTGCCAGGAAGATTCATATGGAGTGACACACTGCCACCTGCCGTTCCTACGGAGCATTGCAGGCACCTGTGTGATGGAGAGGCATCAGCCAGCTTGTTCAGCTCCTGTCTTGGTACAGCAAGTCCACTAGAGCCTCCAAGGGCTAGAGGTTCACTTCCCTAGATCCAGTAGGCAGACCTCACTCTATGTGCAGAAAAGAGATGTTAAAGAGTAGGCTTTGAGGCAGCAGAAAGTAGGTGTAGTCTATTCGGTATATTTGACACATACAAAGTAAATGAATACAAGAGGATGTGGGAGTTTGAAAGATAGATAGCACACATTCATATGAGCATGGAACGTCTAAATATGCAGCAATGAGTTCATGCAAGCACACACTTGCACACTTGAGACTGTACAAGGCCAGCATGCTGAGCGTCCTGAATGCCTCTCATATCTCAGGGGCTTCCAGTCCCCTCCATCTGCACTGCAGCTCATTCTTGCTATTCCTCACACATGGAGGGCAGGCTTCCTCCCTGGTGTCTGTGCATTTGCTCTTTCCTCAACCCAGATCATCACAAATGGACACCTAGTGCCCTCCTGCACTTGATTCAGGTCACTGCTCAAATGTTGTTTCTTCTTCTGACATAATTTCTTTGTCCAGCCTACCAAAGATCCAAATACCGTATGCTTCTCTCACTGACCCCATGCCTATCTCCCTCATTAACACGTAAGGTCCAACTAGTACCAGCTGTCCCAGCACTGAGAACAATGTCCAACAGGTGGTAGCACTCAACAACTATTACAAGGAATGAATGACTATATTTTAGTAACAAGATTCAGTTTTGTCACTAACAGGAATCACAGACATCCTCCTGTGTGTGCTGACTTTAAAATATTGTTAAGAGCTCCCATGTGACAGATACCAAGAAAACGAACCCCTTTAGAATGGAACTAGCAGAGCTGGTCTAGTATTATACTTGCATCCCAGCAGATTCATGTAACTCAGATCTGGGGAGTCAGAACAACTGGTGCATAAGAGGGGACCCTAGAACTGAGCCTGCAAATCTGGCAGGTGCCATAAGAAAGGTGTAAAAGCTAAGGCCATGGGGTTGGACATGGCATGGCCTTCTGGAGCAAACAGGACTAGCAGAAGCCATGCAAAACCTGCAAGCATGTGTCCAGTTCTTTTTTTTTTAATAGATTTTATTGATTTTTTATGGAGAGGAAGGGAGATGGATAAACCCAGAAACATCGATGAGAGAGAAACATCGATCAGCTGCCTCCTGCATACCCCCCACTGGGGATGTGCCGGCAACTAAGGTACATGCCCTTGACCAGAATTGAACCTAGCACCTTTCAGTCCACAGGCTAATGCTCTATCCACTGAGCCAAACCAGTTTCGGCATGTGTCCAGTTCTTTTTCCAGTGCCTGGATCATGGTTAAATCATCAGTAACTAGTGACTCTTCATAGCTCGTTTGTTAAAATGGGAGAGTTTTATCAAGCAATTTTAGCTGGCAGGGCACAGACTCTGAAATTGAGTTGCTTTAGTTCACATCCTGAAATCAAGGAAGGTCACCTTTCTCTGTTTGTTGGGCTCTACATGGGGATGACAGTAGTGCCTGCTCCATGAGGTTGTTGTAAGGATGAAAGGGCAATAAAGAGTCATTAGCAGAATGTGTGGTGCACAGCTGTCCCCCAGGAGTCCTGCCTTTGATCACCTCATTGAACCATTCTGACTTATGACCAACGACTTTCCATCGGATGGCTTCTAAGCCAGAAAGTCAATTCTATTCTGTATGCTGGTCACAAAGCTTCAAATTCTATAAAGAGAGAGAAGCATGGACAAAAGCAGTGACAGGAAATTATATTATTTGTTACCCAGCGAACGTTCAAGTATCTGCTATGTCTTGGAAACTGTGCGAGCCTTATCAATAAAGGTCAATGCTCAGGGCTCTTATCCTCCCAAAGTTGGCAGCCTGTGTTCCCTGTGTCACAAATGTTGCATCAATATGTGTTAGCTATCATTATTATAATTAGGGAATGTGGGTTTTAATTTTGAGCAAGTGAATAGCATAATCACGTGGCTTTCTAGGAAAATCTCTCTGAAGAATACTTGGAGGGTGAGAAGGTACCTCACCATCACCATGCTTTATATGTTCATGTAATGTAGATACATGCAAGAATGAAGCTGCACAAACACATATAGTTCAAGGCCTACCCAGCCGACATGCTACGTGTCCTGAATACCTCTTAGATCTCATTGGTTTCCACTCCTTCCTCCATCTCTGCATTGCAGCTGTTTGGGCTTTCTTACTCTTCCTCCAACATGGAGAGCCACCTCTCCCTCAAAGTCCATGTGCTTGACCTACCTTCACCTTGGAGCCTGCATTGTATTCTAGGTGCTGATACACCTGGCACTGGGTGCCTTTATGTATTATTGAGGGAGGCAGGCTTTGGACATGTAGGTGGATCAGGTAGGGATATGTTAAAGGCAGGAAGTCAGTGAGAGAGTAGTAATGGTCCAGGTGTGTGTGTGTGTGTGTGTGTGTGTGTGTGTGTGTGTGTGTTCGTGTGTGTGGGGGGGTGGGTAGGTGATTAGTGCATGAATCAGGGCAGAATTGGGGTGGGTGAGAAGAGCCCTATTGGAGACATTATTTCTGAAACCAAATAAATGGTTGCCTAAATGGATGTGGGAGGTAAGAAATAAGTGATCTAGATTGACTTTCTACTTCTGGGTTGCTCCCCTGGATAAACACTGGTTTTATTCGACAGATAGAGAATATAGAATGAATCTTGCATTTCTCTGAACCCTTTGGCTGCTAATTGAGTCTGGAGTCCAGAAGGTGGTTTTGGAGCCCCTAGCATGTGGTTGGCAGTTGAGGGTCAGGACGTGGGTGATATTACTCAGCAGAAGAGCATGTGGAGGCAGAGACAGTATACCAGAAAACACATGTAAAGGTCAAGCAGAAAACGAGGCGGTGATGACCAGATGAAAACCCCGAAGCACCCCCTTCTTCTCCACCTCATGTAATAATTGTGGAGATGATAGATTTCTGTCATTTTCAACCTCAGAGGAAACCACATTTTTCTTGGGAACAGTGACTCAAAGGAACAGTCAGGGTTCCTAGGAAAGGTCTGAGAGGTTCTGGAGGAGGAGGAGGAAGATATTGGTATGTTTGTGGATTTGTTCATCTGATTAAGATTTCTGGTATAAAGGGCCTCAATCAATAGCATCATCTTTTGTTTAGTTTAGCACATCCTGAGAAGCTGAGAACCAGAGAGCTCAGGTATGCCTTTGTCCTGGACAAGCTTAACTCAACACCAAGCACAGTTTGTTCCATGCTTGCCTAACCAGCTGGTTACAGACAAGCTGCCCCACCCCCTATGCCACCCCCAAACTCACTGTGTGTGTCTCTCTCTTTCTTTCTCTCTCTCTCTCTCTCTCTCTCTCTCTCTCTCTCTCTCTCTCTCTCTCTCTCTCACACACACACACACACACACACACACACACACACACACAGATCTTTAAAATCCAGTAAATAATAAAGAATAAGTACCTTTCTTCTCTCACCACACAAAATGGTGTCTGTGAGATTTTTCACAATCCTGATTTATCACCAAGGATATAACCTCATGAAAAGACTCTCTGTTTCCCTGTGAAACCTCCTATTATGCCTGTTTATTTAAAAACTTCATATATTATTTATTAATTTTTAAACTTTTTCACATAAGCAATTCAGACATTTTAGACCTGGAAGAAAATCTGTAAATGGAAAATGTTGAGATGTAGTTATTCACACTATATCCTGTTCTCCAACATAGCAAAAACTCCAGAGCACTTTTCTCAGGGGCATGACTGCTGTGTTCTGGAGGCATCAGAATGAATCATACTATCCTTTCTAGAGTAGAGAGGGTAGAGCAGAAAAAGCTCTTCTCTCTCCATCCTGCTTCTTTCCTCTTGTGCCTCAGGTCCCCTGGAGCATGTGCACCTGGCCCTGCCCTTTGTCACCACAAAGAACAAAGAGGTCAACGCAACTGCCGTGCTGTGGCCCAGCCAAGTGGGCACCCTCACCTACGTGTGGTGGTACGGGAACAACACGGAGGTGGGTCACTCTGGAAACAACATGCATAGGGGCTGGTGGCAGCTCAACTCCAACTGGCTGAAGCAGAAAAGAAATGAGATGGCTTGTGGAACTTGAGTCTGGGGGTGGAGGTTCCTAGCTTCAGGGCCCATAGGCCCTTAGAGCATCAATATATCTCTTTGTCTCTCTGTCTCTGTTTCTCTGTCTATCTCTGTTTCTCTCACCATGCCACCCCCTACTTCTTGTCTCTGCCTTCCTCTGTGTGGCTGCCCTTCCTTTGCAGTGACCCTTTGCAGCAGCCCAAGCTTTACACCCACACAGCTCAGCAGAGAAAACAAACTCTTTCTGCAAAGTTCTGACACAAGTCCTGGGATGGACTGTGATTGGCCAGGTCTTGGTCAGTGCTGGGGTGGAAAGAGATGTGTAAGTCAGCCTCCTGAGAATCACATGAACCAAGACAAGGGAGGGAATGGTCCCCAAAAGGAAAATAGGTGAATGGTATGGGCCAGGCAAAAGCAACAGATGCCCATTTGCCAAGGTTGACCAGCAGAACCTGAACTATAGATGAATGATTACTCTGACACAACATTTGCTGTGAAAGAGAGAGCTAAGAGACTGCCTGGCTAAAGGAACCAGGCAACCTCAATCACTTGCCTCCTTAGGCTTTTATTGTAACAGCAGTTTGAAATAAAGTTTATCTTTTAGATACGATCAATAGGATAAGTAATATTGGGAGGGCACATTGTTTGCAGTGTCCTTTAAGCAAGGACACCCAAAGATTAAGCATAAGGATTCCAGTAAACACCCAGGGGTCTGCTAGTGCACGGACTTGTTTGGAAAGTTCAAGGAATAATTAGGGGTGCCAACTCTGGCACTCCTCTAAGTCAGAATTCTGATAAATAGGTCATGCTGTCTTCAGTACACTTCTCTTTTCTCAGAATGTCTTCCTTACAAACTTTCCAACCAAGTCTCCTGTGCCCCCCAATTCCCATTACCACCCAGCCTCCCAGATGGCCTCCTCAGCCTGCATCAGACATGCCAACTTCTTTAGGTCAGTTTTACCCTTTCTGTTTTCCCAAAACATCCCCTGCGATCAAAAGTTAGCGGCCATTTTTAAACCAGTAGAGACCTTCACCTCATTTGCTCTGTGTCTTTTGTTTGGCAGATGAACAAAAGTGAGGATGAGGTGGACAGAGTGGGCTGCTCCAATCCCATTCAGCTGCTTCATGCTGGATTCAGATCCAAGGCCTTCTGATACCTACACAGATTCTTATTCTTCTTATACCTGGCCACATGCTCTGCTTTAGTTTTGAACTCACTCTATTCTCATAAATTAAAATTTGCTTCCAAATTTTGGCAGGAACACTAAGGCCCCAGAGTGTCCACCAGAACAGGGCACTGGACAGACTCTCCTAGACTGGAAGCCCTATCTTCTTCCAGCAGAGTCATTGTCTCTTGATGACTTAACTGTTCTGATGCAATGCATTTTATTTTAATGCAAATATTATTCGACTCCAAAGCTGAACTTTGGCTTTAATTCCAGACAATTTTGCATAGGCCAACGATAAACACCCCTCTCTAGCCCTGCTACAAGCCTGTCAGTGGAAGGAACCTCTCATCTCTACAGGTTAACATTAACTCAACTGAAAAGAAGCCCATTTTTTTTTTTAACTTCTGAAACTATACACGTAAATTCAGCCCAAACTGAGAGTACATGACCCATAGTGAGAGAGTAGAAATCTATGTTATTTAAAGCTAGCCTTGGAAGGTAAAAGTCCTAAACAATGTTATTATCTATCTCCTATTATTTACCTTTTAGCAGAAAACCACATTTTCAATAGATCGTGTTGAGCAACCTTCTTATGCTGGCTTTCATCTCCCCTCTGCCATCCAGGGAATTAAGTGAATTTTGATTTTAAAATTAATTATAAAAAGACAGGAAAGGAACGATTGTGGGAAGTGAGTTGAGGGAGGTCATAGGCTAATTATCTTTTCCTTCAGGACCCTGGCATCCAATTGGAGCACAGGCACTGCTCCAAGTCATTGTCTTTATTTATTTGTTTGTTTGAGTCCTCAAACCACCATCCAATTAGTACTTGTTGCCATGGAAGCTGCTTCCAGGATGCTGATAGGCCTCTCAAAGGAACCCCGGGCATGCCAGGCCGCTCCTGTTAACTACTGTGGTTTTGGTGTTCATGGTTGCTGTGTTCCATTGCAATTTATTTTGACTAGTATCCCTGGAGATAAACAACTGGCAGCTTGTCGATTTTCAGTGTCTGCTGCTTATATCTGGGTTCATATGAGCCCTCTGTTTTGGTCTGATCTGATCATTTACTTAAATAAAAGGATCTGTTTAATATGAGTAGATTATTCATAAAGACACACATATCCCACCAACAAGCACAATGCATTGATCTTCCCAACCCTCAGTATGGTGCTGGAAGAGAAGTGACAAATTCAGAAGGCATGGGCAGGGTTGCTTGGGGTCATGGCTCTATAGCCCCTTTCTGGTTTAGACTTGAGATGATGGGGAGGTATGGATGGAGTCAGATGTCACCAGAAAGAGCCTCACTGATTTAAGATGCTGATGGCTTTCTCATCTATAACTGAAGAGCTTTGACTCGGCTACTGTTGCTCAGTGGTTGAGCGTCGACCTATGAAACATGAGGTCAAGGTTTGATTCCTTGGTTGCGGCCTTGATCCCCAGTAGGGGATATGTAGGAGGCAATAAATTCGTCATTCTCTCTCACCATTGATCTTTCTATCTCTCTCCCCGACTCCCTTCTTCTCAGAAATCAATAATATGTGTGTGCGTGTGTGTGTGTGTGTGTGTGTGTGTGTGTGTGTGTGTGTGTATCTTTGCCCTTACTCCATGCTTTTGTTTATTTTAGCCCTTGATCACCTTGGAAGGCAGCATATCATTCAAGTTTACCTCTGAAGGGATGAATACCATCACAGTACAGGTCTCAGCTGGGAATGCCATTTTGCAAGACACCAAGACCATTGCAGTGTATGGTGAGTACTCTGCATTGATTCATTGTTGCCCTTTCTGCTCAGAGGTTACTCAGTACCAGAGTGCCAGAGGCCATCCGGCTTATGACCTCTAACCAGAACACAGAGGAAAGTGATTGAGAAATAGCTGAGTCAGGTCTGGTCTCCTCAGTACATGTGGGCCGTGTACTCTCAGTTTAGGCTGAATTTACATGTATAGTTTCAAAAGTAATAAAAAAAAAATGGGCTTCTTTTCAGCTGAATTAATGTTAACTATAGAGATGAGAGATTTCAGACCTGACTCAATTGAAAATGTGGTTCACCAGCAAAATAGTCACATGACCTCAGAGGGTTTATTGTTTTGTTTTGTTTTCTCTCAGTGTAGCTCTGGTGCACATAAAGTCTCCATCCATTTGCTCACTCGCCTTGGGTAGGATGAGCTTCATTATGTGTAAGACTTTCATTCCATTTGGCATTTTGGTGGTGTTTGAATAGCTAAACTGATTATAAAAGAAAATGGTTAATATTGAGGCTTCCTATAAAATTCAACGTTAAAAGTCTTGGTTATTAAAAGGAATCTATCAATATCTAAATACTCTGAAAATATTTTACACAAATCTGTATCATAAAAACTGTGCTAGTTTAATAGACATGGAAGGGTCATAATAGGCAGATATCATAGACTAGATATTGATTTGAACAAGTCACTGTAATTTTGTACTCCATTGGGGAAGTTGAATATCGCCAGAGTATACGATGGAATGAAAATGTACCCAACTGGAAAGGTGGAATTATTGATTGAAAATGGGAGATTGGATAAACAGTTTATACAAATTAAGCTCATTTGGGAATTTTTTTTTCTGCATAGGCTATTCAGATGGATGCACTTATTAGTGGATAACAAAAGTGTAAACTTTTATTAATATGGAAGTGGTACATATGCAGTATGGAAAATTAAACTAAAAAAAGAATTTCAAAGAAATAAGTGCTGTGCAGAAAGAGAGTGTACAAAAGGGAGGAAGTAAGAAGGAAGAAAGATAGATAGATGATAGATAGATAGATAGATAGATAGATAGATAGATAGATCGATCTACCAGCTGACCAGCTGGTGGTTCAGATAATATCAATTGTCCCAGTTCCAGAATTAATTGATTCTGATGCAAGTTCTGTTTCTCATTTCTCATCTTGCCAACTTGACCTTCAAATTCAGAATGTAATTTGTAAGTAACTTGGAACGTGTCTGAGAAGGATATTCCATGCATAGCTGGGTATTAGATTTCATAATGTCCCCTCTCTCTTCTAACTGCCCACCCTTGCCAAGAAATTGATAAGCCCAATAGTAAGTGAAAGTAGACCAAGGCTGTGATTTTCCTCACAAGGTCCCATGAGTGAGGCAATGGCCCAGCCAGAGTTCAACCAAGAGGAAAACTTTTGCTTCTTTTTACTTCTCTACTCATTTCTTTTTCTTTTCTTTTTCCCCCCCTTAAACTCATTTCTATGCTATGGGATACATTGAATCCTCGTAACAACCCCAGTATAGAATAGGTGATACTATTGTTATTGGTGGAGAGCTCTCTGCAACCCCACCTATTGTTGGTAAATGTGGGGTTCTTGCCACGTCACAAGAAAAAAATTTTCTGAGACTTGAACAGGAGAATGAGTGGCTTTTAGTTGAATGAAATTATACCCGTGAGTTTTCAAGGTCCCATTTCCCTTTGTCCAGTCAAGGAAGAAATCCAGCTGTGTCTTTAGCAGCACTAGGATTAAAACTATTGCTCAAGGTCCTGTTCCATATTCGCATAGCCCAGGCTAGCTTTGCCTGTGTTCCCAGCTGCAGTCCATCAGCCCAGTGCCACATGGTTATAGACAGAACATGAGTAAATGCAAGGAAGCAGGAGCCAGGCCAGAGGAACAAGAGAGCCAAAAGAGAGTGAAGTATCCCATTATCTGGGGTATTTTGTATCCCCCAATTTTCCTGGGCTTGCAATGGCCCCTCTTCCTCTAGCCAATTATTTTTGCTCCCAGATTATACCAACAGGCACCTTCCCTATGTCACTCCAACTTTATTGCTCATGCATCCATCCCCCCTTTGTCCAGTCCCTTCCCCCAGTGATTTGGAAAGAATGGACTGGTGGTTCTCTATGGAATGTAACATTGCAGCTTTCTGGTAAAGCTGCCCAGATGGCAACGCTTCGCCTCCCTTTTTCTTTCTTTCTATTAATAAGAACTAGCTAGTTATAATTATTAGTCTCTTATTTATTTATTTATTTATTTATTTATTTATTTATTTGCAGAGGGGTAATAACTCGCTCTGTCTAGTCAGTGGTGGAACTGGGCTTCTATACCAAGGACTTGTGCTTTTGAGATTACCCTACTGCGCTGGCCCTCCTGTCTTTTCCATCTGATGCTCTTCTTCCCTCTCATCTTCCTGGATGGCACAGGTGTCACTAAGAGGCACTGACCCATTCTTTCCACAGATGTCCCCTTGGTGAAGAGTGTCAAATATTTTCTTACTAAAACTACAGAGAGAACTTTAAACCTACCCTATGTATTCTTGGGGCTTACATGGTCCAACTAGTCATTTTTCAAATAGGAAATTGTGGCCCAGAAATGGCAAATTACGGACTTACCATTCTTCTCCTGTTCAGTGACAGATCCAATAATGATGGTAGTGCTAGTAATTAACATTGATGGAACCATTGCCAGCATCTGTTCTAAGCACTTGATATATATGATCTATTTTATTGAACAGAGTTGAGATAGACTTATGAGAAATATGCTATAATTATCCTTGTCTTATAAATGAGAAAATATGAGGTAAGTATAGTAAACAGAGCCTAAGACTCTGAATTCAGAGGGAACATTTCTAACCACTCTCCACCCATTTTTGGCTTAGTTGCTCCTCTTCCTAAAACGCCTTGAAAGACATAATCCAAAAGAGAGCCACCCCTTCAGATGGGTTATCTTCATTGAAAAAGGTGAAGTGGTTTTCCCTCCTCTAACCAAGTCCTTGAACCATCACTTTTATTTAATTTGTTTTTAGTCATATGAGTTGTCCAGAATTGCATATGAATAGCTAGAAAATTTTAATGACACTTTTGACATATTAAAGGCAAATTGCAGCACAAGGTGTTAGGCAAGATTTAACTCAACCTAAATAACAGAGAGATGTTTAAACTCTGGGATGAGCTAGTGGAAAAGCACTAGAGGACTTTGGGGGATTATCAATGTAATTAGGACATTAGTGTTTGCTAATTGGTGCTTAGAAAGTGAAGCTCCTGCCCCACCCCCAGTGGTAGGGGTCTTATTTTCTTGATGATGACATTGCAAAGGCATGGCTCCCTGGTCCTCAAGAAAGCTACTCATGGCTTCTAGAAGATTTATATCTCAAAGGGGCAGAGATAGGGTTGACAATCGCAAGTTTTTCAAAGTAAATGCTCTTAGAAAAGGGAGATCAGGGACCTGTAGTCAGGAAGGAACCTGTCTGGAATGCAGTCAAGTTGAGGGAAACATTAAGGCCATTGTGGTCACACTGAGGGAGGCATCATATTTGGGAATTAGACAAAGGAAAGATTATCCACCCAAAGCCAGAGGAAAGAAAATCTCCTTTTCATTGTTTTCTTTAATATGCTTCAGGGCACTGGTTTACCTCTTTAATACAACAAAGAATATGTGAATATGTAGAATTTCTCTCAGCAGCTACTATAGATATGTATGTATATGTGGATTTATTTGTGTGGATGTGTATGTGCATATGTATTATTGATATTTACCCTTCTCAGCCCTCCCACATGCATCCTCTATTTGTTGAATGAACTTAAGTATAATATTGCTCAGACACCCCCTCCTCCTTGCTGTTAAACATGCTAAGTAATTTCAGAGGGAGCTTCATAATTTTTCTCATTTGTGTCCTTTTATTAAGATAAACATCTTCCCTTTTAGATGAAGTTTCTACAGTTTGACAAGAGGATCTGGGGAAGCGAAAATGACATAAACATGTCTTTGAAGTGAAAAGTTAGGACTCAGCAGGTGATTTTCTAGCGCTGCCATTGGCCAGGCTATTAATTAGTATGCATTTCACTGCTCTCCATCAGAACAGACATGGGGTGGTGTTCACATTGGTAACCAGTGACTCGTAAAATAGTCAAGCTCTGAAAATAGACATCTTTGGACTGCCACTAATGCACACCTTACAATGTAGGGGTCATGGAAGCTTGTGTTTCAGGAGTCTTTAGCATTGTTAGGAAATGCAAGTGAGTGTTTATGTTTCCTCAATGTGTACACAACACTGCTCTTGTTGCTGAACCCCCAAACACAAGGAACCGCTTAAGTCAAGAAGTGTTTGTTAAATAGTAAATGTAGCAATTACAGGCAGCCCGCACTGTAATTCATGCATTTATTTATTCAACAGAAAAATTTAATCATTAAATGATTTATAGATGGGAATTGAAAGGCCACCATGAACAGGAAACTATTTCATAGAGCCAGGAGTACAATACCCCTTTCTTCATTGAGTTTATATTCCAGTGGGAAACAGACAATAAAAACAAAATAATTTAAGTAGCAAGAAATATGAGAAAGACAAGCAGGGTCACGTGATGGAGGGTGTTTGACTTGGTGAAAGGGAGGATACCAAAGTGCTGGTGGGAGGGGGTTGTTCCAGGAGAGACTAAATGACTAGAAAGTTGAGAGTGCTATAGTCTAAGGATGTGACTAATGTGGGCAGATTGAGGAACCCAGGAAAGAACAGGGTCCTGAAGTGGGGAACGTGTAAGACATGAGGAAGCAGAGAAAGTCACTGTGGGGTTGTGTGGGATGAGGGGGCTGTGGTAAGAATCAGCTAAATTGTATTCCACATGCTATGTGGAGCCATGTGTCAAATGCTGAGCTGAGTTAAGATTCTCAGCTGAACTCTAAAACCCAGCACCATGCTGGGGCCAAGGCCATATCTTCCATGGGCGGATGCCCACCAGTGACTGACTGAGACAGGAATACCAGGGCAGATCCATTCCTGGATATCTTTGTCTGGAAGACTCCCCCACAGTCTTTCTGAACCTCCCACAAACTGCATAGCCACCACTTACCCTTCCTCCCCTCTCCCACTAAAATGTCATATGGGTGCATCACAGTCTGGCGATACTCAAGTTCCTCTGGCTTTCTCCCCAATTTTCTCCTCGCAAAATCCTTGCTTCTGCAATCCCACCTACTTCCTGGAGGAGAGGGACTAACTCAGGGATCACGGAGACAACTAAGAAAACCCCTGAACTGAGGAGCTTTAAATTCCATTACATAAAACTTTCATGCAAAATAGCAACAGAATGACTATAATAATAATTATAAGCATGCAATCGGGTAATAATAATGAAAGTATGTGCAAAATGCAGTTGTGCCATTAAAAGGTAAATTAAAACAAAATGGGAGAGGGCCCTCATTTAGTAAGTGCTCTAACTTTGCGTGGAAGATGGGAGTCATGGGAATTCTAGGCAAGAGATAGTGTGCACAAAGGCCCAAGGTCATGAACTTGAGGTGCATTCAGGGTGCTCCAGGTCATTTAATGTCAAGAGTACAGAGTCTGGAACTGGGGCACGATGGACAAAGGCTTCTGAGCTGATCAGGGACCAGGGTTTAGGGCTTTGGTCTGGAAGAAGAGGAGCTGGAAGATAACAGGAATGGGATATTGGATTTTCCTTCTAGCAGGGTCTTTCTGGTGAGTGTGGAGGAAATGGACCCTCCATTGGGGCTTTGCATACAATGCAAAGTATACAGACTTCTTGAGAGAACTACTTGACTTTTAGTGATCACTCTACTCTTGTGTCCCCAGAGGAATTTCGATCTCTTCGTCTGTCCTTTTCTCCAAACCTGGATGATTACAACCCGGACATCCCCGAGTGGAGGAGGGACATCAGCCGAGTCATCAAGAAGTCCCTGGTGGAAGTGAGTGCACACGGTTCCTTCTCTTGCCCAGGCTGAGAAGGGACTGTCCCTGAAGAGCTTCACAGTGAGGGAATCCTTATGCAAAGCAATGACGGGAGAGATCTGGAGCCGCTGGGAGATCTGTCTGATATCTGCAGAGCTGAGCTCCATGATTGCAGATGCATGGTAGATGCTTTCAGAGTGTGTGTGTGTGTGTGTGTGTGTGTGTGAAACTGTAAATAAACATTTGGCCATTAACTCAACTTAGAGAAGAGCGTGGGAGTTTGCGATATAGTCATATCGCAGAGTTCATGATGAGCCATTAGTAAGTATAAAATCAGCTTCTGGTTTTACATGTCTTGATGCTGAGAGACACAGTGTGAATCCAATTAGTAAGAGCAGCCCTGGGTTCCAGCTCCACAGACAGTGAGCATAACAACACAGTGAGCACTCGGAACATGATGGTTAGTCCTCCTTCTATGACCAGTTCTTCTAAAGGCATTTGTTGCCTGCAACAGCCCTCTCAGGAAGGTATTATTGTTCTAGTTTTGCAGTTGAGCAACTGAGGTTCAGAGAGGTTAACTTGCCTAATGCCTCAAAGCTAGTAAATGATGAAGGTAGAACATTGAAGTAAAGGCTCTGAGTCCAATGTCTGGGTTGTTACCTGTGAAACACAGCTCCCAGGGGTTGCTGGGGAAATGGCCAGATGATGCACTTTATCTCTCTCTAAGCTAATGTCACTGGTGTTTTGAGAAGATACCTTCTTTTAGACACACTGCCCTGTGTGTATTCCACTTTCATGAATGATCAGAGGAGGGGTGTCTGCTTATGAGGCTGCTTGGACTTATTGCACAAACCCAGAAAATCAGAGATGAGAGACTTTTTCCTAGGGTATATTCTTAGCCCCCAAGGAAAGTCAGTGTAGGTATACATTTTTGTACATTCTCTCCTGCACCTAATACATGAGAGTAAATGCCACAAAGAGATATGGCTGAAGGAATTCAGATAACCCTGCACAGAAAACAGATCTTGCATCCACCCTTTTAGCAAACAGCTGTCCTGTCCCATATTCATACTATTATTTTTGTTAATATTTACTTAGCACTTAACAATATTCCAAAACTCTTCTCAGTGCCATTGTAATTTTAACATGTTTAATCACCAAAAAACTAGCTTAGGATGTGAATAGTATAATTATTCCCATTTTTACAGGCAAGGAAACTGAACACAGAGACATAACTTGTCCAAGGTGACACAGTTACAATTCAGGTTCTGGAGTCAGACCATCAAGGTTTGAGACTTGATTTCGTAGTTTCACAACCACCCATTCTGCTTCCATCCTTTGTGTTATTTTATGGAGAAACAGGGGTAAGCAGAACAGTGTGGTGTGGAAGGGGTATCTTCAAACACCTCTCGGTACATGCCTTCTCAACCTTTGTCAGGACTCAGCATCAATGACATTATGAGAGGCTAAGCATTATGGCCACCAGAGGGCGCAGCAGCTAGACCACATGCCCCACTGGAATAGGCCCTTTTGCCCTTGGAGCTGTTTGGCTTTGGTTTGATAACTGGTTTCTCTCCTCTGCTGTCCAGGAGAGATGACTGACACCTACCCTTCAATGAACTCACTGCCTGCCTCCTTCAATCTTCACATTCTAGGGATCCATGTCCCTATAGACCTCCCAGGCAGCTGTTCAATGTCCCCACATGATTTATCAACCAGGCATTAGCTCAGCAGTGACCAGTTTTTCAGGCTGATTTCTCTTCACATTTATTGTCTGGGGAGCAATGCCCTGGGCCTCCACCTTTCCACCAGCTGTCCAGTGGACTAGAAATGACTTCTCAAGAATATTTCTACGCTGATGTATAGCATAATCAGCCCAATTCAGAACAAACAGGCTCAACATCCCTCAGGACATGCTGTGATGGATAGAAGGAATTTTGAAAACTCCCTGGTTCCCCAGTCCTAAGAGGCAACTGACCTAACCCCTGGTGCCTAGTGCCCCACCCTGTCTTTGGCCATTTTCTTAAGTCTTGAAGTACCACATTGCCAAGTTTACCGTAATAAACCCAACAAGAGGTACAACTTGGGGACAATTTATTTGTACTTTCCTTGTTCATTGCATGACAGAATTAAGGCAGGGGAAGATGGGATGGGGGAGTAAGAGATCAACTAGAGGACTTGTATACATGCATATACGCATAAACAATTGACATAGACAGTAGGGGGGTGAGGTAATGTGCTGGGGGAGCAGGAGTGGGCGGGAAGAGCTCAATGGAGGAAATGTCATATGTGACACTTCCAACAACAACAAAAGAGAATTTAATTTAAAAAGTATCAGTCACCTTTTTCTCATCAAATGAGGCTTTTCTGTTAACATTTCACCATGGGATCTTTCACCAAAAGTCTTCATTAAGGAAGACTTACTACGATAAGGATTGTTTTTAATATGATAAGTATGGTTTAGACAATCTTGAATTAAAAATCTAGTAGGGGAATAGAACAGTATAATATTGGTTGTGATAAGAACTGCTCTGTGATCATTGTCAGGAAAAGGGAGGTGGAAGAGCACAGGTGACAAACAGGCTTCATGGTCAGACCAAAGTCCCAGACTAATCATCACCATTCACTACCTAGGTGGCCTTGAGCCATTGCTTCACTTTCCTCCATCTGCCATCTGTCCTGTGACAGAAATAGAGATGCATTGCCCAGATCCCCATTTGGGGAAAGACTGTTGTCTTAACTGCTGGGAGTGCCATGGTAGAGGCTTCACCTGCCTTGCTCCAGGTCATGTCAATGCTCACATCCAGTGACTGATGCAGTTAGAGAAGGGCCTGGCTTACCCTCACACACACCTGAAGCACCATCCTCACTCCCTGTAAGGTTCCCGAGGCTGCCATTCACCTTCATCACAGCTCAACTTCTCCCTCTGCTCATTCTCGCTTCCTTCTTTTCACTCCCATAGCTGTTGACCCCAAGAGCACCCTTAATAAACATCCCAAATGTTGAGCTCAAGTCAGCTTCCTGAGGACGCCAACATGTGATATGTCTTTACCAACAAAGGGGGGCATAACAATAATTGTTTCAAAGAGTCGCCATGGAAGGTTGCATTACAAAATGTTAAGTTGCTTAGCACAGTGCTAGACACATGGGAAGGACCCAATAAGTGGGATGTCATAAAATTTTGAAAAAGATATAAATCAAGGTGAAGTTCAGAAACAAACAAAAAAAAGTCACCTAATTTGGAAATTTTGGAATATATATATAGAAGCAACCAGATTTTAAAAAGAAAACTCATGGAGGAGAGTAGGGTTTCAGTAGCCAATGTAGAGAAAAGACATTCACAGGAAGCTGGAACACACAGAAACATTTTCAGGAGAAGAGTGTAATTCTGAGAAAGTGTATATGATTCCATTTGGCTGGAGCATAAGATGACTGTGTGAGTTGTGGATAATTTCATTTGGAAAGGAAGGGGAGGACCATATTGGAGACAACTTTGAATGTATATTCAGTCCAGTTGGTAGTGGGAATTACTGCAACAATTTAGGCAAGCTAACATAGTCTGAGTTGGACTGAAGGAAACTTTATTTGGAAGTAGTAGCTAAGCTCTTGGAAATGGGGGGGGATTATTGTAAAACTTGAGGGGAGAGAGTATGTAAATGCTGAATTGGGGTATTAGCAGCAGGTATTTAAACAGGATGGGACCAGTAGGATCATTGCTGTGGAGGTTGACTTATCGAGATTTCTTAGACTGAATAGATAATACATAGGGAGGAGAGTGTAATGTCAGAAGTAAACAAACACCCTGACATCCTGAGTCATCCACATGTAGAACTGATATTTTATGGCTGAAAATGAGAAGGTCCTTTTTTTGACATGTTTGTTGGAAGTCCTAGTAAAACAATGGTGTTCTAACTGGCTGATGAAGAGTATGGCTGGGGTTGGAGCTATCAATTCTAGGACTATCTGGAGAGTAGACTCAGGGGAAACTCTAGGATATAAGCTCAAAATAGATCAGATGAACTAAGCGGAAGTCCTTGAGTGGTAATTTTAACAGGATTTTAACAGGATTCAGCATGGCAAAGGGTGGTGGGGGAGATCAATATGCTTCATAAAACAGGCTGGTCCTCAGGTTCTTATGATGTGGAGAAATCAGCAGGGGCCTGAGGAGTGTGATAAGGGCAGTGGTGTGTGTGTGTGTGTGTGTGTGTGTGTGTGTGTGTGTGTTAATTAGGTTGAGTCATTCAACCAGATGTGACTGGTCCATTTGAAAGAGTAACTCTAGTATTACCAGGAAGAAGGATGTTTGGTTAAAATGGGGTAAGGTATGAGGGGCAGATGATAACCTTTAGTAAGTGAGGGCCTTCTCCTAGCAAGGTCCATCACTGGAGATGCCCTGTAGGAAGAAGAGCTAACATTTGAGTCCCCAAGCATGACTACAGATGTTTTCCGTCCAACTTAATTCTCAAAACCACCCTTTCCCAAGTACTGCCAGTCTCCCCACTTTTTACTTGAGAGAATGGAGGTACAGAGGAGATAGTTTTTAAGGTTTCACAGGGATGGAGCTGAGATCAAACCTCACACAGTCTGAACCTGAGCCAGTACTTTCATCCCAATGCTGGCTCTCACATTCTTTCCTACAAGGTGCACCCAGGACCCTGCTTTAACACCTCATCCATATCCCCTTGTGTCTTCTTACCACCCCACCCCCACTCCTTGCTGGATGCGTGGCCCCTTCTCATCATCTTTTCTGCAGGACTTACATGCTCCTCCGTGTCTCCTCCTCAGGCTACTGGGATTCCAAGCCCTCACATCCTGGTGGCGGTGCTCCCTGGTTTACCCACGGCTGCTGAGCTCTTTGTCCTGCCATATCAGGATCCAACAGGAGAGAACAAAAGGTCAGCTGAGGATCTGGAGCAGGTGAGTCTCCCAGGTGACATTTCAGCTTTCCCCTGCACCACACTCCTCCTAGTGTTTAACCACCTGCACAGCAGCTCTCAGGGATCTGGGCTTGAGAGCGAGAGCACCAACTGTTTGTGGAGCCTTACACTTTCTGGTCTTCCATTTATTTTTCATAACCCGTTAAGCCTAGCTACAGCTTCACAAAAAAAACAAAACAAAACAAAACAAAAAAACAAAAACAAAAACAAAAAACAATGCTCAATTGTTGGTTGTATGCCTTGGCTCAGCTGCTCAGAGTATATCCACACTGGAATGCTCTACAGTAGTGTTTCCCAAAGTGTAGTATATGTACCCCCAAGGGTACGGGAAGAGTTTGGTGGGAGTATGCATTGTACCGGAGTTTGGTGGGGATATGCACTGCACCATGCTTAGCTGTGCCTAATTCTACATTCTCATGAGTATGAGGGGTACTCAGTGTTACGAAAATTATAGAAGGGTTACACATATGTCAAAAGTTTGGGAAACACTGCTCTACAGCATTTACAATGAATTAGATAAGTCTATGTATATAGACATGACGAACTGTCCAAGATGGTAAGTAAGAAAAAGGCAAGTGGCTGAATAAAATGCAGAGGCTAAACTTATTTATATCTTACTTTATTTATTCTCATCACCAGAGTATCATGGGAATTAAATTACTTCATATGCATTATATCTATATATATAAAAACCTAGCGACCAGATGGAACTTGGGAAGGCCTGACCTTACCCCTCCTTTTAATGCCCTGGCCCCTTTCTTATAAAGATATAGCATAGGACCCTACAGCAGGGGAAGAAGTGAGACCCCGGCCAGATGGACCCTGGAGACTGTAAGAACCAGGCCCCAGTAAAGGGCTCCTCTAGCTTCCTCTAACAGCATCTCCAGGGGAGAGGGATGATGGCTTAGACTGAGCTATCTTTTCTGTGAAATAAATTGGAAATCCCCTCACAGTGTGAAGTACTTGACCTTGTTATCAAGTAACATGGGCCGGGTTAATCAAGTGACCTCTGTCTGGGAAGGTTCCACTCGCCTTGATTTCAGATTTCCAGTGAGCAAGGAGAAGCTGGCTGGCCCTTTGCTGGCCTCATCAGGGACAGCACATCCTGCTACCCTGAGGCCAGCTGCTCAGATGTAGAGAATCCTTCCCCCTCCAGAGGTAAGCTGATTTGTGTCTGGCTTCCTTGGAAGGAGGAAAGAGCATCCTGCTGTACCAAGGTTGTTTGAGGTGCTTTGCTGGAGAGATAGGGAGCATACAGGTTCTTTTGCAGAATCTGTAAAGAGCATGAAAACACTTAAAAGGAAGAAAAGGACTATGGGAAATATGTCAGCCACCAACAATGTATTGGCTCCTCAGTTGTTTAGGTTCTCATGCACACTTGACCACAGATGCAGAATCTAAGATTCAGGGAAAGGAGAGGTGCCTCTGAAAATGGAACAGTCTATTGGCAGCACTTTAAGGAAGTAAACATTTACTCTGGAATGTAATTTATAAACTCAGTCTATTTTTTATATGCCCACAGAGTCTACTTTGTCTGGATTTATTAATGTGGGAAGTTGAACCATTGAAATACTCTTGAGTTTGCAAGGAAGATCATTAAAGCAAGAAACTATAACTAAAAGTAGAGTAGGTAAGAGTTGGCCCAAAAGTACCATGGCAGAAGGAGACCGATCTTAGAGGTGGTTCTGAGGAATACAAGAGGAGGAAGCATGTATGGCCAATCTATTTCTTCCTTATATCACCCAGGAAACTTCTTAAGCACTTTCATGGCACTGATTATTTTGGGCTAAGAAAGAATGGAAATAGCTGAGCTAGTGTTAACTAGAATTAGTATTTGACTCCATTGCTTTCCCCACTAATGTATGAGTTGGGGAAGATCTTCCTCTGTTGAATCTAAAAGAAAGATTCTTCAATTGCTAGTTGAAGGGACCTTAATAATGTCACAGAATCAAGATTGGTTGAGTAGGTCATTCCAGGCAAGTCTGTCTTAAAATATGGCACCAGGATGCTATTTATATTTAGTAAGGGTTCCATTTCTTCTACCAACTTCAGAGATTAGCACTAATATCTTCTTAGCCCAATGTAGCTTTGCCATTGATAAGTCTGCCAAAGCCCCTGTTGAATCTATAGTTTCACATTTACCATTTCTTTGTTTACATGTTTTATATATTAATCAACTGCTTTGTTTTCCTTCTACTTCTTTTTTCATGTTTTGGTGTTTGACATTACCATTCTAATAGTCTGAGTCTGTGTTTGCCCCCAATTTGTTTTATTAAAAATGGTTTAGATGTTGAATGTGTTCTTTGTGCAGTAACCATCACCATTATTAACTACATATTTCCAGCTCACTGACTTCTGGGTACATGGTAGGGTTGTTCCTGTGATTCTCTTCCATGGAGAGACCCGTGTGACTAATTCTGGCCAATAACTTGGGAGCAGATGTGAGATGCATCACTTCCAAGTTGAAGTATCCGGATGCCATCTGCAAACTCCTTTGCCCTCGTAGGGTGCTGTGAGTGCACACTAATGGCACTGCTACACTAGCCTGTATCACTGGGTGATTAAAATGAGCACAGCACCACTGCCCACCTGCAGTTTGAGCAAGAAAGGTGCCTACAGTGCTTCAGGCCCTGGAGATTTTAACATAGTGCCTTCAGCCTCACCTAGCTTGCTGACATTGCTACACTTAAACTTTATACTTTGTGAAGAAAATATGGAGATTGGTGTTTTTTCTTCAGCAGGTCCCTCTCCCTGCATCCTCTTGAAAGTAGCTTTTCAACTATTTTCTTGAGTCCCCACTGTCTTCTGAAGAGATACTTTGGGTGAAGTGTGAGTTATATGTGAATCACAAGGCCTATTCCACCACTTGGCAGATGCCAAGGGTAATAAGTTATGTCTTTGGTCCTGATTATTTAGCAGGCATGGGAACATGGAACAACTGATGAATCTCAGGGGAAAAGGAAAGGAGGGAAGGCAGAAAGAGATTAACCCAAAATCTTATATGCATACTGGGGTCCTTCGGCCTGGCCTGTAGGGATCAGGCTGACACAAGCTCTCCAACATCCCTAGAAGGGTTCCCAAAATTGCAAGAGGTTACAGACCAACCCAAGGGACCCACCTGGTACACAAGCCGCTGCACTAGGCCTCTAGAAATAGTAATAATATTAGTGTGGTGAAAACTTTTCAGAATTTGCTAAAAAAATATAAGCAAAACCAAGCAAGTTGAGCTGGGTTTTCTACTTTAAACAACTGAACAGAGTTTTACTTTGACTTTAAACCTTCCTTAACTCTTACTACCCAAATAAAGCTCTTTGCCCATGTATGAGGTTGAGCATTGACCTATGAACCAGGAGGTCACAGTTCTATTCCCCATCAAGGCATATACCCAGGTTGTAGGCTCAATCTCCAATGTGGGCATGTAGGAGGCAGCTGATCAATGACTCTCTCTCATCATTGATGTTTCTCTCTCTCAGAAATCAATAAATATATATTTAAAAATAATTATTATTATATCTGCATATTCTGGAATAAAACTTCAGCATCCTATTAAAACTTATTTGTATAATTCACGAGCATACTATTGGGAATGCCTTGGTAAATGCAATACATATTTCTCAACACATTTGTTTCTAGTCAGTTTGGCAATTTTGGTGGCACTCACAATGACACTGCTTCTTTCAGATATCAGAACTACTGATCCATAAGCTCAACCAGAACTCGGTGCACTTTGAGCTGAAACCTGGGATCCAAGTCCTCGTCCACGCAGCCCACTTAACAGCAGGTCAGTTTGCATGTCCCCTGTCTTTCCTAGTAGCTCTAGTAAAGGGGAATCTCAATCTCTCCTTTTATCATTACAAAACTAGATGGCGCCTCTCCTTATCAGAAAGACAACAGAATAAAGTGCATTTTCTTAGTCTTGAAGAAAACCAATAAAGATTCACCTAAATACATACTCCTCAAGGAATAACAAGTTTCATCTGAACAGAAATCTTAAAAAAGAAGTTAATTCTACAAATAACTTTTTTCCCCGGTCTTTCTGCAAAACCTTATTTTTCAAATTACTCATGTTACAAATGTGTGTTTTTTTTTTAAGTTTTGAGATATAGTAGTCAGTGGAAATACCTGGGGCTTAGTACTTGTACAGGGCTGTAGCAAAGAACTGAATCCCAAGTTGGTCATGATCTTACAAATTAATGTCATTGAGTTCTGTCTTCTTCTATAGAAGGTAGGATGCAGAAACCTCTTCCTAAGGCTATTGAGAAGTCTCAGTTATAATGCAGGTAATCCTATGTAAATAAAAATAGCTATCATTGGTTATATTATTACTAAACCAAATTAATATTTATTGAGTACTTATTTTTGCAAAATACTGTGCTGGTACAGTAGGAAATGATCTTTATCCCAAAAATACATAGGATCTTGTTGTGATGGGGCAAAGTTTGCTGTAGCAGTGGTGGTGGTGCTCTGGGTTCTGGGGGATGGGCAGTGGTGGAGTATCTCAGTGAGTAATGTGCCTACATGCTAGGGAAAGAGGCAAAAGGGCATACTTAAGCACTTAGAGTTCTCAATCTTGCTGCCAGACCAATGGTTTTCATCTTAGCCCCATCACTGACTCACTATATAGAACTTGAGAAGAGACTTAATCTCTCTGGGCCTTACATATGACAGTAGCACCTATGTCGGTGGGATCCCCTGAGGATTACATTAATTTAAGTAATGTACTTAGAGTAATGCCTGGAAGATAGTAAGCTATTGTCTGTGTTTTTCTTTTTACTCCTTATATTATTAACAAAGTTGTTTAGGAAATAAAAATCAGAAATAAATTATACCCAGTCAAAATGATACAGGAAAGGATCTTCGAGAAGGTGGATGGATAGTTATGATTAAATGCTAGAGATATTCCAAACACAAAGGAAGGAACATGGAATAAGTGAGGATAAAGTTTCCATGATCTCAATGGTTATTTTTCTCAGTGTGGTCATTAACAGGAAAGCCCTTCAGGTTGTACATTATTAATATGAATTTCTGAATTGGATTGGCAAAATGGACTTCTTTAAAAAGCTTATAATTGATCATGAAAATTCTCCTGGAAAGCAAAAAAAAATAGTGGTGAGAGCAAGAGTTTCCAACTTCAATCTCTGGTTTCCTGGAGACTCTGAAGGTGTGCCTAGGTCTATAGGAAGGCCAAAAGGCTTGGCCTCTTTTATGCTTATATTGTATCTTTTCCTTATATTATGATTTCATTTTTTTGTTGTTGTTGTTGTTAAAAAATAATCCCACAACCTTAAAAGAATGAGTATTTAAAAGTCACTATTCCTTCCCATCTGGTGTGGCTCAGGGGTTGAGCGTTGAACTATGAACCAGGAGGTCATGGTGATTCTCAGTCAGGAACGGGTTGTGGTGAAAGATCACAACTGCCTTTCTCTTCTTTTTTTCCTGTAGCAGGCAGAAGAAAATACAATTTAAAAAAAAGGGAAAAGGGCCACTGTTTGCAACATTTCATGTCTCATAAGCAGGATTGCTAATACCTTCCCAGGGACCATTATAGCACACTGCTGCATTCCATTAATTGCTCAGCAGATGTTCAGCAGCCTTCTTTTAAAAATGTTTGAGCCAGAATATGTTGCTGGTGAAAGATGCAATGCATAATTTGGTTTGTCTCCAAGGAAAGAGAACTGTCTCCTTTCAGGAATTTACTAGCCTTATTTTGTGTCTGCAGTTCAGCTCCCTGTTAGGTTTTATGGGCACACAAGGTAAGCATTTCCAGATACCTGGGTGTCATTAGAGATTGGGTTGAGTTTGTTTCCCACCACCGCTCTCATGGTCTGTTGGGGAATTCGTTAACTTTGATATCTAAGCCGAGCCAAACTTTGTTTTATCAGTCCTTGTTTATTCTCAACCATTCCTCTGTTTCTCCATTCGGTGCAATTACTCTTGAGACCACACCACTCCTGACAGATATGTTCTGAAATTCTCTTTGCAGAAAGAAGAGATGTGCAAATATGTGGGAACAGGGAGAGAATGAGACGGTGTTGTTGAAGAGTTTGAGGGGGGCCGTGGCCAGGGTAGTTCTCTTTGGCTTTTAGAACCTGGTGGTAGCAGAAAAAGGCCAAGGTGTTACAAAACAACCCAGGGAGTTGGAAAAGGGGGTAGGCATCTATCAAGCTGGTATTGGACTGGGCACACTGGTATTTTGACTAAAGTGTACCTTTACTCACTATTCCCAACTGGACTATCTCTCCCCCTTCTCCATCTGTCCAAACTTCCTAAGTCTATTTTTATTTTAAGGCTCAACTCAGTGCCAACATGTGCATGAATATTTTCTAGAGACATTTCCCTGAATTTCATCTATCCCTTGTCTGAGCTCACATGGATATTTAAAATCTTTATTGTTGCAATCATCATCATCGTCATCATCATCACTCTTATTTAACTACTTAAGGACGCAGTTTAGAATATCTTAATATTGTCTCCACCATGGTACCCAACAGAGAACTTGCAATATAGCAGGTGCTCAATAAATAGTGCTTTATAAATAATTAGATGTATAATCAGTTTCTAAGTTGAAGAGGAATATTCAAAATCTCGTTCTCCCACTTACCTGCAGATTGAGTTTATTTAATTTTGAACCTGTTCTATGAGATGCTACTTCTTACCAAATAATTGATAAATGAATAGCCTAGCATTCATTGATCTAATAAGCATCCAGGGAAAATGCATCTCTGTGTTTTTCGTGTGTCAGATGTCCCCTCATTACATATTATAATCATTTGTAGGCACTTTGTGGAAATGAGAGTTCTGTATTCTGAAACAAGAGACTCTAGAGACTACAGGAGTAGGGCAGGCTTGAGGGGCTGTTCCTGAAAGAGATTAAAGCAGGTATAACTTTTTGGCTATTATTTTCCTGCTCTTTCCCCTGAGGGGAGTGTTTCCAGTGTCAGAGAGCACCCTCAATTCATGGCAGACCTCAAGTCACACACCTTAGTTGTGCTGTCCTCACTTTTTCAGACAAGCTGAACCTTCTTCATGCCATTTGTCACATCTCCCTTGAGTTCTCTCTTATCCATGCTTTTACCCTACCCTTCTATTTATTCACTTATTTATATTGTTTGGTATTTATTTATATTCTCTTTTAAAGAGCTATGATGTCATCTTAAGGAGAGGGTTTTTGTTTTTATTTGTTCTTGGTTTTTTTCCCAGCAAGACTCATAGGAAGGCTCTGAATCTGAAACAGAACATTTCACTTCTGTAGGTTCTTATGGGAAAAGGAATGTGGGGAAGACAAATATGCCTTATATATTATTAACTTTATTGTTTATCACCCATGCATGCTAGTGAGACACCTTTTGTTAATGAAACTTTGAGATAATAAAATGTGATAAACGTGGAAAAGGGAGAAGGGGTAGATGAGGGGATTTAAAAAATAGGTTTGGACAACCATCAATAATCCTTTCTCTTTCTTAATAAATTATTTACACATTTACAAGAAGTTTTCAAGTCAAGTGGCAACAGATGGTAATTTATTTAGTGGGGGGCGGGAGGAGAGGAGGGGAGAAGAAACTTAAAACCTTGTTGATTCTTCCTTGGCAGAATAGATGAGATTTTTCATGAGAATAGATGTTAAAGAATGGGCTAGCATCCTATTTGAGAACATAAAATCTAACTGGAGTGATTCATATTAAATTACAAGCAACAGCACTCTCAAGATCATTTGCACTTCACAGGATTTATTTGTTGGGCAAATAGTCTGAAACTTGGGGAGCAGGCCCTCTACATAGAGGGACTGGAAGAGGTGGAGCCCACAGGTTCTCTGGATACATGTGGAATAAATGAAACCCTGTTTCTGGTAGGGAAGCTCTTTATAACCCCATAGAGACCCCTGCTATAAAAACTCTGTTCCTGCACCTAACTCTGCATGACTGTTACCTAGATTTCCCAGGCCTCATCGCACACACACCCTGAATGAGAATCCCAGGGAGTGATACTTGGAAATCTACAGTTTTAACAAGTTCCCAGAATGCTTTGCATGCAGCCCGCCCTGTCCTTCAGGAATCTCAACATTCTGGGACAGAAATTCATTTGCATAACAAGGAAAAGGGCCCATCCATCTCTAGCAATAAATCTGATTTATAACTCAGGGCATCCAGGAAAGCAGGGGCATGCTTTAAAAAAAAAAAAAAAGGAGTGGGGGTAGTGATATTAAGTGTAGGAGGAAATTCGTCATCAACATTAAAATCTAATTTCTCGGCATATCTGGTGCCAACCTAATTGGCAGCCTGCGCAGACGACAGTGGGAGTAAGGGGAGAAAAAATGAAGCATGTCTCTGGATCTGAGATATACCCCCATCCATAATCTAGATGAATGGCAAAGGCCAGCCAAACGCGTGGCCATGAAGCAGTTGACAAATGATTTGAGTTGCACTAGCGTCTTAGTGGCAGATGTGCTTGGAGAGCCATGAGTTTTATGCAAGTTAAACAAATGATGTTTGCTAGATGCCTTTAATGTGCTAGTATGAGCAGAAAATGATCCATCTGCATCACACTACATTTCTGCATGTCTTGGAGAATGAGATTGCTCATCAACCCTCAGCTTTTCAGTGGGATCACTGCCCTTCTGGAGTTTCTGAGACATGCGCTTTTAAGAAGAGAAAAGTTACTATTTCTCAAGGGAAAAGCTTCAAATCCCAGGTTGAATTAAAAAAAAAAATACGCAGTAACTGCGCCCACCCCCTCCCATCTGTCTAGCAGTTGTCTTGTGTAAGCAGCTCTGTTCTAGGAAAA